ACATGCACAGCTGCATGGAAATGGAAATATTAGTGGAATATTAATTTTCATTAGCCATGTAAACAGCTTAGTGTAGCTTAGAATATTGTTTTTTTTATATAGAATAAGGGCAAACAAATGAATCTCTTGTGCATGTCAACATAGTAATGGTAAAATTCTGTAAAAAAACGTTCAAGGTAAATATTCATAGGTATTTTTTCATTAGTGTATAATTATCTGAAAATAACAATCATTGTTCATCATCGTTACCTTAGAATGAGCTGTTTTTATCTTCAGAGGAAGCGGGTCCTCTTCTGGCAGAGTCCGCCAACCTGAACTGCCATGTCTCTACAGTAACCTAGAACAGACAAATCAAACAATTGCCCTATGCCTTTCATGTTTTTGGAGGCCACTGTTGTTTCTCCTATACACTGGGCGAAGCGAGGGACTTGGAATCTGCAACCACACCGCTAGATGCCACTTAATCCTACACACTGGACCTTTAAAGTCATTATATCAATATCTTATCCTCTACTCGATGTGGTAAATCTCCAACATGTTTTCAGCACTTATTTCCATGTGTACCCCTCTACAGTAAGTTAAACAGCTGTCGTTACTGTAAATGTTTATTTAACCCCATCATCAGTTAGCACGCTCCCTCTTGACAGGAAAAGAAGAACAAAGGCCCATCAGAGCAGATAGACCTTCCATGTAATCATGAGCACAATCATCACAAAGAGGAAGAATTAAAAACACAACACTGCCAGTTCAGAGTCTATTTTCGGCTCCTTCCTCCAGGCGCTGGAACGTAGCGGCGTGGGGTAGAAAAAGTCTGCCACCTCAAAGCCAATTACGTGGATACACCTAACTGCAGCTGTTATTCCCAGAATAAAAAAACACTCTCACTCTCTCTGTGGCGTGTCTCTCCTAGAGTGATTACTTCGACAAGCAGCACGTTAAAGAACAACTTAATGCTTTTGAAACGCTTCCTGTCAAGCTTGACTGATTCGCCCACATTGTTCCTGAGAGAGTGAGTTCCTCTCCGTGTGAGGAAGTGTTGATGTTGCTGTGAGGCCTGTTACTGATAGCCCCCAAGTGCCTCTGACCTACAGTGACCCATACTTACCTCCGACAGGACTCTGATAGGCTGGGACAGCAGCTGCAAGAGTTACATTTGAAGTTGAGGCTCAAAGTTAATTTTTGACCCTGAAAACAGCAGTTGATAAAACAATCCCACCACAAGGTCCATATAATACAGTGGTTCCCAGCCTTTTTCCTGGTGACTCCATTTCTATCATTTAGTAAACTGACAAACCCTGAAAGACCTATGGATATTTCATATTATATTAAATGCATAACAATAATAATAGAGAACAACTGTACAATGAACCCAAACAGTGAACACAATAACTGCAGAAAAGAGAGTGATAACAATACACTGGTACTGACGATAACTGTGATATTTGAAAATGAAATATTGATATCATGTTAATAATGCGCATATGATGATAATGTGTAAATAATTCAGTTTGGAAAAGTAAAGAAAGAGTATGCAACAATTGCTGCAACAACTGCAACAATTAACCTAAGCAAATCCCTGTGAATTCTGAACAATCTTGCAATTTTGTCCAATCACTGCAACTCTTCCACAAATTTGACCAATCATTGTGGATTCCTGCACAAAACGTTGGGCCATATGTCACCAAACTCACTTCCCTGTTTCTAGTTGTGAAGATGGAGACTTGTGTGATGCAAATGTCCACATTTACACTCCAAACAGTGCGATTGCATTCTTACCTTTGACTTTTAATGAATTATACCAAATAATAATAATAGAAAATCTCAACTATTTTTGCTATTTACACTTTCTCACGCAATTTCATTGTGCAAAAATACCTAGAAACATTTTTCAACTTTCACAAGTTTAGCAGCCACCCTAGTTTTTCCTACACACCTGGAAGACTGAGCTGTATTCAGATGGTTGCAATCTGCAACTTCACCACTACATGCTACTAAATCCCACACACTGGTCCTTAAAATGAGTCATGAAAAACATAAAACATGTGAGGACTGTGTTTTTAGTTATACAATCTGGGATCACTTAGGTCTTTAAAAGGTGTGAAACAGTATTTCTGCTAATGCAAACATGACGGCTGCTTCATATCCTCCACATTCCTGAATCCAACTGACCCATTTCTATTGCCTACATCCCCTGTGATTCAGCTTGATAACGCGTTACAACTCCCTTCCTTCTCTCGCCGAAGCGTCCCACATGTTGTTCCACGCAGCAGAACCTGTGAGTGACACACCGGAGGACCCGCCTCCGTCCCACTGCGGCCGACCAATGAGGCTGCAGAGCGGGGACGAGCCTTCAGCGGCAGCCTCTCATTTCTCACTACAGTACCCGTGTAACGCACACTGGCAGTCATGTGACGGTCATATAGTACAACTCAGCCAGCATTCAGTCCAGTGTGAACGCTGCTACCGCTGCTGCCGCTGCATGGCGAGTCTCAAGGGCAAAAGCTGCTCTGGCATTACTCTGCCCCGACGGATGCAACGGATAAAAACGGTCCTCCCCGCGCCTCTTGCATTGGGATTATATTTGCTTTGAGTGAACAAGGTAAGAATGGAGGTTTGTTTTACGCACTGGTGGGTGCAGGGTGCGCATGTGTCCGCTCGGTGCCATATGCTGCAGCAGGCTAGACGAAAACATGTTTACGTTGAGAGCGGAGACGCGCGCCTACTCATGCGTTATGCACCACGGCTGGGACGGGCAGAAAAACACGGCACACACTCCGATATGGTGCTCTACTGTGGTTTCTTTTCCCTCTCCCGCAATTTAACAAATAGACGAATGAACGGATTTGGAGTTTTATTCTCCTGTTTGCAGCTGCGCGTGTGACCGGATCTAAACCATGCTGCCTGCAAAGTCTGATGCTTTAACACTTATTTATTGTTATTATGCATTTTAAAATACGATTTCTGTCGAGTTATGATTACAACTGCAAGGTCCCCGCTGTGTAAGAATGTAATAAGAGGTGATGTCCAAGCTCCTCTGCACAAACATGAAAATGTGCCCCGCAGCAGAAGCCACGCAAGAAACAGAAATGCACCAGCCTGCTTTTCATACCCATACATCTGACGACTCGTACCTAAAATCTGTCTTCAAGACTCAGAGGTGACTCTCTTATCGGCCCGTAAACAAGCAGAGCAGGTGATTTACGCATGCAGCGCCGGAGCGCACGCTGCTCCCAGCTGCCCCATGCGGTGTTTGCAGATAATAATGTTGACAGTTTTTTTTCCTTTTTTTCTTTTTCTCCTCTCTCTCTGGTCGGGTTTACTCTCGGTCACTCAGATCATTCCAGGGGCCCCTGGAAAGGGAGGGCGGACGGTTGAGGGAGGGGGTTGAGTATGACCGACGCTCTCTATTCCAGGAAAATCACCTATTTATGAAGTCTATAGTGGGACATTATCAAAACAAATGCAATAAAGTGGAACCGTGCAGCCTCCTGTCAGTGCTGTTGAGCCACATGGAAAGAAACCACTGATCCGTAAGTGATAAACTTAGAATCTGATACTTAAATAAAGTAAATAGGTTATAAACCTGTTATAATCGGAGATGAATAAAAACATAGTAAAGGAGTAGAATGTACAATGCCATGGGAAATCTGTTTTAAATATGTGAAAAATCTTCTGATTATTTTCATTGCTTGGTCTATAAAACATCAGAAAAAGGTGAAAAATGTCCATCACAGTGTCCCAGTGTACAGGGCGATGTCATAAACTGTCTTTGTGCAACAAAACCTACAAATATTACATTTGCTATACTGTAGGATCAAGCAATGGCAGCAAAATTTCTGTTTTTTGACACATTATTCTTAAAATGTATCTAAATTAAAGTGTCAAACTTGACAGTTTTTGTCATCAAACTGGGCCTTTTTTTTAGATCCGTTGCTGGAAATACTAATCAATCAATCAATCAATTGTTGCAGCTCTACTTATTGTAATATCAGAAAATAAAGAAAAAAAACAGATCAATATTGATCACATCAGAGCAGTCTACAGTATAGCTACAGCAGGCCCACCAGTCTGTTGCAGGATAAATCTAACGGTGATGAGATGATTAACAAGATAGAGAAAAAGAAGACACAACACAGTCAGCCTGGAAAAATATTCTTAACCCAAGGTCTACTTACTAGAATTATTTCGGAGCTTTCACCTGCGTCTCATGGCCTTTATCAGCAGATGGGGTGACATTTTTGTCAAACTGTCTTTAAGTTCAATTTAAAATTACGCACATGCAACAGTAGTTGCTTTTTTTAAAGTACAACAAGACTCCAAAAACCATCTAAAAGAATAATTTTGAGATGGGAACATCAGTCTTTGACACCTGTGACGAGGGGTCACAAGGGGTCAAGAGTAGGCATCATTTGGGTGTAAATGGTCACCAGCAAAGAAGGATAGGAACCAGTGCAGTAGGCATGCTGTTTAAGTGGCTCTATAACAATTAATGCATTGGCTTAGTGACTCACTATCCTCTGTGTGATTGCATCACTGATATTGTGACAGCCGCATTCAACTATCAACTTGCAAATTGTAGAATTTGCAAACACAGACTAATAGGCTGACAGATGGATGTGAGGATATGCCCCCTTATACATTTTCCACTAGATATATAATCACCTAAAACTCTGTTTTTAAAGTCGGACTGCTCTTTTGGATTTGAGCAGTAGGCACATGTGGGATTAAGATTAACAGACTTCTTACTGTCTCTGTTTTTTCTATTTAGATATCCTGGCTGGAGACCTTGGATTGTCAGTGTTTCCCCGACGCTTACTTTTTCCACCCCGAGAGAGCACACCAGGTGTTTCACTATCTCACTCGAGTGGGAAGCGTGGCCTTGGTGACCTGGGTTTGTTTGGCCTAACTTTCCCAGCAGCACAAGGAATAATTCTCTTATAAATCACCCTAAGCAGAGACTCTGAGTCCAACAAGAGACAGCAGTTTGGCACTATCCAGGGATGGTAGATAACTCCCCAGTTAGCAAGGGGACTTTTTTTCCTTACAGTGGCTCTTCACAGGCCTATCGGCTGTCAGACATGGTGACAGACCTGGGCTCCTACCAGGTGATGCCATCGCCGTTTTCAGAGGACGACCTGAGCGAGTCGTCCAGCCCTCGCTCCTGTTCCAGCCCGGATTCCCAGGTGCTCAGCTCCAGCTATGGCAGTAACTCTAGTGCTGAGAGCCAGGACAGCATCCTGGATCAACTGCTGTCCCAGACCTCTTTAGGGAGTGCCAACGGTGTGCCAACAGGGTCTGTGGCACCTATACCATTATCCACTTTCCTCTGGGACTCACGGAGAGATGAGCCCTCGAAACGTGAGCCTGTAAAGGTGGAAAATTTTGACTTCCTCACCTGGTCCAATGTGGAGACAGAGGAACAACTTGGAGGGTCTTTCCAGCCCACACTGGAAGAGATAGAAGAATTCCTGGAGGAGAATATGGAAGTGGTAACAATGAAGCAGGAGATTCGAGAAAGTTGCCCGGGCATGGGTATGGGACTGGAGGAGGCTCTTGGTCTTGAAGTTGGCCTGGAGTGGTGCAGGGAGGCCTCCCCTGAGCCTAAGCTGGAGCACACTAAGTATTCAGACCAAACAGTCCCCACTGCCAGCACTGCTGGCTTAGCCACTGCTGCCTCCAGTGAGACCAAAACCACATCAGTTAACCCTACACATGAATCCAGCACAGGGGCCAAGAAGGCATCAGGCAACAAACCTTCATCAGCAGACAGTGGCACAAACGGTAATGGGATGCCGGTCATCCTACAGATTCAGCCCCTTCAGATCAAGCAGGAGCCCACAGCAGCGCCTATTACCCCAGTGGCCCAGCCCCCACAGCCTGCCTCAGCCTCAGACATCAAAATTGCACAGCTACTGGTCAACATCCAAGGTCAGACCTTTGCCCTGGTGCCCCACATCCTGCCCTCCCCTAACCTTAATGTTTCCTCCAAGTTTGTACGCATCGCTCCTGTCCCCATTGCAGCCAAGCCTCTGGGCCTCGGGGATAGCTCGGCCAGTCAGGGATCAGGGATTCTTGTTGGAGGTCAAAAGTTCCAGAAGAATCCGGTGGCGGATCTTATCAAAATGCACAAATGCACTTTCCCTGGCTGCACCAAGATGTACACCAAGAGTAGCCACCTGAAGGCCCATCTGAGGAGGCACACGGGGGAAAAGCCTTTTGCCTGCAACTGGCAGGGCTGTGGATGGAGGTGGGTACTGGTGACGGAATGTGAACTGATTGAATGAATGTATTTCTATGTACATTTTAACATTCACCTCATATACAGAATGATCTCTGTCTGATCAAAAGCACCATAACTGAACACTGCAGATTCATGTGTTTGTTATCTTACCAGATTTAACTGACTCGTATTTATGACTGGTTGTATAAAGCCTGTTTAAAGGTTTGTTTATTCCCAGGACAGCAATAACCACAGACTCTACCATGCATCTGCATGATTTAAAAGGGCTTAACCCCCATTTGTTAGTGTGACCTGTCTGCTGGAACCAGCAGTAATTATATGTCAGTGGGGCATCTCTTTGAGCTGTGGATGGTATCATGTTGCTCAATGGAACCAAGGGTGGTGCAGATTTTAACTGACTTGAACTGACCTGTCGCTGAGGGTCATCTATTGGCACTGGCAAGGGGACTTACAGGGTCTCTTTAAGCAGCTAATAACTAAAGAAGCAGCTCTACAACACGAATGTCATTATTGGTAATAGGGTTCATTAACATGGAGGCGAGGCTTCACTTGGTTTCTGTTTGTGGGATGCCAGCAGTATGCTTCAGCAATGAGACAACATGTTCATAGTTATTCAATATCCGTAATAGAAAAGCTGAGGAAAAACAATCATACTGTTTTCTTTTCGCTAAGCCCTGGAGCTGAAGAGCTCTTAATGGCTGTCATGCAGCCTCCAAAGTGTTAATTGGGATAATGTGAGGCGGTGGCAATATAGACGGCCTAGCTTACACAATCACACTTGTCAGGCAGTGAGATATGTGGGATGTGCAAGAATAGCTGGGGTGTCTTTTTTTGTGGATGTAAACTAAATCTGGGACGGAGCATGTGGGCTGCAGTCACATGGGCACAACATGGGCACCTCCTGTTGAGAGTCAACAGCTGTGCAGTTGCTGGGGCAGTATGAGTGTGTATTTGTGTATGCTGTATAAAGCAGCAAGATCTAATTTGGAACCTGCTGTGTGTAATGGAGAAAGGCAGGGAGAGAACTTGGATGTCTTCATCAGTGAGGCAATTTCTGTGCTCATTAAAGTAAAGCGTCTCTTTACATTCATCACAGTGAAGGTGTCTGTGTGTTTATGAGTGTGTGATGGAGTGTGACTTGATCTTCAGAGCTGCCAGAGCTGAGCTGGCTGTTTTCCTGAGGACATCAGGTCATGAAGTGAGACTGACTTAAACTGGTAGAATGAGTGTAGTGTTTGACTTCCTCAGCCATGTTCTCTTTAGCTAGTGGTTCCTTATTGGTGATATTTCTGATATTTAAAAGTGAAACATTGATATTGTGTTAGTAATACACAAATGATTATATAGTGTAAATAATCAAGCTTGGTAGGTGGCAGTAATGCACCCTAACCTATCCAGCTTTACAGTTCAGTTTAATTGCTAAAAAAGAGACAAAACACTCGAATGGATGAATGGACTTGAATGCAACCCATGTAGCCTAACCCTAGACTATATGTGATCCGTTCTTTTGTGGTGCTTCTGCTCCTTCACTTTAGACTTTACCCACTATTCCAAAATGCTTGTCAGGTGGTGTGTCATAAATATATCTGGCATAGATCGCTATTTTGCTCCGTTGTGTTGTAAAAGCTGGTTTTTACCAACTACACTATTTTTCTACAATAGAGTTGCAAAGTCTGTTTTGTCCAGATCATTGTCATTGTTTGTTCTTCATAGAAACCAGTTGCTATGCCAAACCATTGCAAAAACATGATTAGAAATGGGAATTTACTGTGTGGAAAACATATCTCCAGAATTGGTGGCTACTCACACTGTGCAAGCCTATTTTTGTCATTTCATTGCACTTAATGGAGTCAAGTGTTAAAGGTTCAATGTGCAACATTTAGGAGGATCTATTAGTAAAAATGGAATATAATATTTTCATTAGTGTATAATCACTGAAGTATAGGATTCACTGTGATTTTGTTACTTAGGAATGAACGTTTTTATCTGACAGACGCCGCGGGTCAGGCTTCCATTGGAGTCTTTAATGTTTAAACAGTAGCTCAGAACGGACAAACTAAACTCTGGCTCTAGATAGGGCCTTTCAGGTTTTTTGCTAGTTTTGCGGCCCCTGTAGTTTCTACTACACACTTCACAGCCCATTCTCATTCCCAGGTCGTTAAATTCAGACGCCAGCCCCTACAACTTTAATTTTGTGTGGAGTCTGGCAGTCTCTGTGGACAAAAGCAGTACTGTTTCCACTTCCTCGTTTCATTGATTTCAAGGGGAATCCGGAATAATAACTAAAAAGCCAATCTTCTAATTGATGGTTTTGATTGTTTATGTAGGTCATACAGATGTATTAGTATTAAATTGAGACTGTTTTATAACCAGTTAAATGCTGCTTGGTTTAATGGACAAGGAGAAATATGACCCTAATACTAGACCCTCGGGGACCACAGACCTTAACATTACACATATAAATCAGTACCAGGCATGTACTGACATGGAGTGTGCGTTTTTTGTGTACCTTGCATGATTGCATTGATCTGTACATATGGTATGCTTACATTTACTTGTGCATGAGGACTCTAGTCAAAAACTATCCCAACCTGTTATGTAATCAGGCCTCTACCTGCCACAGCTTGCTAGAGATCAGTCTTGGAGGAGTCTTCTCTTTTAAACACAGAACCTCCTTTTACACGCAGGTATTGAGTGATCAATAATATCCCTTAAAAGCTTTGTGTTGGTCCTTTGTGCCATATTAACAACCTGGCAACCCGGCGCCAGTCCTGTACTGTACTTGTAATGCTGTGTGCGTCCTCATACATGAGGGGAGCAGCAGAAATTTGTGCAGTAGTAATCCAGGCTGTGTGTTCCAACTAACAAAGGGCTCTTGTCTGTGCACAAAGGGCAGGATGTAGTTTGGATGGAAGTGCGTGTGAGAACCAGTGTATGTGTGTGTGTGTGTAGGTGTGTGTGTGTTAGTGTCTCTGTGTGTGTGTCACTGTATGTGATGGGGTAAATGAGGGGGCCGACCAAAGGAGAAAAAAAAGTTGGGAAAAATGTAAAAGAAGCAAGCGAATGGAGTGAGGAGTGGAGAGTCACTAAGATTTAAAAAAAGAAAAGACAGGAGAAAAAGTGCTGGTGGTGGTATGGGGGGGAGGCAGATAGAGGGGGAGAAAAAGGCCTGTTTCAGTTTTGCACACAATCATTTGAAGGGAGAAGCGGTGAGGAAGTGGAGCGAACAAAGACAAAGTGTTGAATAGTTACCATGACTGTGGGCTAGGAACGTCCAGGCTGCCACACTGCTTGAAAGGGAGGAGAGGGATCAGTCAAGGTTCCTCACAGACTGGGAGGAACAGGGAGGGAACGGCTGAAAGATGCACTGAGTGTGCTACTGTATATTCAAATGCATAACAACGTCTGCAGTACTGTAGATCAGTGGCTCCGCTGCTCCATGCTAACATTAAACACTGCATCAAAAGTTACCAGGACACTAGCATCACCTATCTACAGTAACTGTTAGTAGCCACTGGTTTATGTTCTATAATATAAAGATAAACTTTAAAAATAAATTACACACATAACACAACCATGACTGGATTTAACCCAAGGCAGAAAATTAGCTGTCGGGCCCCTATTGACCTCTGCCCCAAGCACATTTATTTAGGAATGTGCACCATGTGTGCAGTAGAAACTAATATAATTAAGGTCTTAGACATAAATTTTGACGCAGGGCCCCCTGTACAAATGATCAAAAACCAAGTGAAGCTGGAACTTGTAGGACTCCTAGGAGTCTGGGGCCCCCAGTTTTCTCAGTCGGTTATCCAGGCTTGAGCACTGATACAACTGATACAGCCACATCCTTTTTTTTGGGTGCATGGTTTAGTGAGCAGTCAGTCACTAAATGAAGTGTTTTTTACTTTTAAATAAAGTAGTGGCACCCATAGTCTGTGTTGAAGTTTTGATTTGAACATTAAGTTAGCCAGCACAGAGTTAGTGCTGGCAGGTGCTGACAGATCACACAAAGAGAACTTGAATGAGAACTGGAATGCTACACACATTTTCCCGCTTATACCATGGTATAGAGATAGAGATAACCCATTCATTTATATTTTCATGCTTTCTGTAACCGTAATTGAGCTTTTTATAACTCAATTTCCCTGGTAAAACCTGAGGGTTTGAGTAATACCTGGGAGGATCATCACTTACTCCATTTTGTTTTCATTCAGTTTAGTCATTCACTTAGAACAGTCACACAGTTTCACTGGAACTATTTAGTAAATGGAATTAATGGACACCCTGGAGCCAATCAGAATCGAACCTGGACCAACGTATAATGGCCTGTAATGATTCAGCATAGCTTGTGCTTCAGTGTTACCATGGAGCCGTTCACTGAATATATTACATTGATTGCAGATTGAAAAGATGCCTAAACATGCAGTACAGTTGATGACTCTGGTGCATCTTTCTGCTCCATAGAGAGCCCAGGCTGGGTTACTCAGCTCTTTCAGGCTGACTGTTAGAGGAATGAAGCTGGGGACTTTCTGGGGGGGGGGTGTTCTGGGAGTAATTTTCCCACACACGAGGGGAATGCTTAACTGGAAGAGAGAAACTTGCATACACTCATACTGGATGCAGTGTACCCCTCTTTCAAGGTCAGGAGAAGAGGTCTGCACAGGATCGACTGCTTTTCATTTCTGTCTGCCTCTAAAGATGTGCCAACCCAATCCAACACTGCTTTCTATTTAAAATCAGCCTGCAGTTTTTTAAATCAGAAGAAACATGAATTCAGTTATTCAGCTGTTTAACCAAAAACACCTTCAGCTGACAGGAAATGAAAACAAATCCCTTTAAAAAAGAACCGTTTCGAATTGATTCAGTTGGGACTAAAAGTGGATAAAAAGATTATAAATCCTGTCCGTTCCTCTGATGCTTTGCATAGCAGCAGATCCAAACCAGATGGTGAAACGTCAGACTTCAGAGTGGCAGTGATTGTGTTACCGTTTACAGAATGAGACCATCGCTACAAACTACCTAAAACAGTTTGTAGATCAGATTTGAGTGCACACAGTTTACTGGCAGACCGTGCATTATATGAAACATTTGTTTAAGCCATTAGCCTCTTTTATTTTCATGTCTGAAATTTCATCCCGCATCCATCCTGCGCTGATCACGCTGACCGCCCGCTCCACATTACAGCAAATATATCCTGCGCACGCAACATGTTTCCCATGAGATCCCAGTCCCGTTCAGTCCCCTGGTTAGAAGATTTAACTGCACAGAAAGTCAAAACTAATATCTGATCCGTCTACCAAAGTCAATGTATAGACTTGATCTGCATGTGTCAGTTTTTTCTAGAAAGTATGTGGTAGGTTTTCAGAGTTGTTTTATTGCCAATGTCTTCTTGTATAAACTGCTGTCAGATGTTGCATGTAACTTGTCATGTCTAATAGTGCAGCAGCATTGCTTTAGCTCTTAGCTGCAAGCTTGTTGTATCTGTATGACGGAGAGAAACAACGTGTTTTTGCTGCAGCCCTTTATGTGTTGCTGCTTAATTACAGGGTGCGATCGTATCGATTCATCATCATGTCAGGTCAGCAGAGTAACATCTGGGATGCAGAGCCTGGCCGGGGACGGTCGGTTTCAGAGAACTATAGTTGCTGGGATGAAGCCCCGGAGCTGTCAAGCCTTTGGCTCCAGCCAAGTAGCCTTGCATGCTAACCCCGCTGCGATGTTTTGCTTGTTCAAATGAGTTACAGGCAAATGAGCTGTAGCATCAACATGTTAGGCATTCTTGCTCATAATTATGCTGTGGGGTTCGGTGAGAAGATTCCTGGCTTCGGCAGCCATTGTGTACATGGGAGTTGCCAGAAATATAAAATAACGGCAGTGGAAAAATAGAGGTTTTTGTCTTTTTTTCATCATAAAGGCGCTTGGCAAGTTCGGCACTGTGAAATATCCTTAGAACACGTTTACTCTAAAGATAAAAGTTTTTATCAGATCAAACGTTTTAAGACGTTTCCTCATGAACAAAACAGTGTCTGGCTGCAGCTGGTTTGACACATGTAGAGTATGATCATCTTTTCCAAACCACACACCTGAGACATTTAGAACCTTTGTTCTCTTATAGTTCACTTTCTGTAGGGGTTGGGCAAAAAGATCTATTGTCAGAAATGGAATATAATATTCATACGTATGTTTTCATTTGTGTATAATAACCTGAAAATAAGAATCATTGTGTTTTTGTTAGCATGAGATGTTTATATCTGCAGAGGGAGCGAGTCCTCTTCTATGGAGGCTTTAGTATTGAACTACCATGTGTCTACAGTAGCCCAGAACGGACAAACCAAACACTGGCTCTAGATTGGACCTTCAGCGTTTTTCACGACTTCGTGCCCACTGTAGTTTCTTCTACAAGCTTAAAGGCTAAGCTCTATTCAAATGTTTCTAGAACTTTGCTGCTAGATGCCACTAAATCCCACACACTGGCCCTTTAAGAGTTGTAGTAAATTTGCATCTAAAATATAAAGATTAATATAGGGCTGTACTTTTTGTTGGCTGAGAATGCAGAAACACTACAGTTCTAGGTTTTAATGTTATTTTTGGAGGATGTGACAGATTATCTGACACATTACAGCTGAGCAGAGATTACAACTGCACCTGCTTTTCACAAGCTACTTGCTTGGACTACTGGAGGTCATGATTCAGAATTACTAAGCCTTATATAATTATTATGATATGAAAGTTTAACTGGGAGATTCCAACGACTGAAATTGATGTGACGCAGCAGGATTGTTTGAATAAAGAGGACTCTTTTGCTCTTGTAAGTAAAAAAACACACAATCCACACATGATATTAGGAAGATATTACAGAGTGATGATTCCTTTACCTTACAAATCATCTTTGGCTAATTCAGACACTTGGTTAATGCGAGCATATTAACCAGACAGCAGGCAAGTAGAGGACCAAAGAAAGCAGAAAGGTTTTACATTTAAGAAGCTGAAATCAGAGAATTTGGACATTTTTTCTTAAAGTGATGGATGATGGTGGATCATTGCAACTCTAGGAAAAATATCAAATCATTCTCAGTCAACGGAAGTCATGAGTCATTGCTGTTAAAGGCAAAGCCAAGTTGCAAGTCTAAGGTCATCTGATTCGTGACTTGAAGCCACACCTCTGACCCTGAATATAAAACATCTCTCCTTCTTCCTTTCAGGTTTTCCCGGTCGGACGAGCTGTCTCGACACCGGCGCTCCCACTCGGGTGTCAAGCCCTACCAGTGTCCAGTGTGTGAGAAGAAGTTTGCCCGCAGTGACCACCTGTCAAAACACATCAAAGTCCACCGCTTTCCACGAAGCAGCCGGACAGTTCGCTCAGCAAACTGACTTCCTGCTCGGATCAATGGGAACGCTGGGGACGCTGAGATCACTGTCATACAGACTTAGGCCATGGGAGCAAAGTGTGAGTGCGAACGTACAGGTGTGTGCAAGATGTTTGCGCCTTCATCAAGTCGGTTTGAAGATGTGTGGGAGCATGCCTTGCTTATTGTTTCAGCAGTCTGTGATTGTTCTAATTTATTGTACAAGAGTAAACCACAGTTACCATCCTGTAATCAGCTAAAGGTTGTTGTTGCTGTTGGTACTTTGGTATGTTGTACTCCTTATGTTTGTTCTGTCCTTATCGCCTGCCTCAGCAGAAGATAAGATAAGCTTATTTTCATTCAGTCTGGATTATGTGATAGCTTTGGTAATAGCCTTGCGTGTCCATACCTGGATAAAAACAACTGCCTTTTATCTTCCGGAAAGCTGCCAATGTCTTGGACATTCCTCATCTTATGCAATGTTTAGGAAGTCTGGAGTCCGTTCGGATCCTCATAAGCTACTACCGGAGTAGTAGTTACTCTTCCCGGGGTCCGCAGAGGTTTCTGCTGTGAGGTTTCTCTGATAGCTTTGTCCTAGTTTTTGCTGCCTTGCACCACAGTTCATTGACAGTATGGTTGGAGAATACCTTTTATTATTCAACTTTGCATTGATGCACAGGGTGAGACCTGCTCTAATATGGGGACATGAACTACTGATTGCATAACAAAGTAAGGGAATCTCACCATAAGCTACTGGGAAGAACCTGCTGAGACAAAAGGAGGAAAATGACAGAGCAGCACATGAAATGCAAGCGTAAATCATATCTAAAAGGTTAAACGCACAGTGATTTTTATATCCGCCTTCTGATCAGTGTTATATGATCTTTTTTCATTGTTGTATTAAGCTCATGTGTACCTACTTGCTGGTCTTTTATTTGTCTCGCTTATCTGGCCTTACTATACCACAAAATCCTTACTGGAGAGCCATATGGTTTGGAGAATTGGGCTCTTTGGTCCATGATGATCCATATTTTAATGGGGTGTTAAATGACTGTTCATAATATGGCCCATGTCAGTAAGTGCATAGCCACGGAACTGAATGTCTCATTCTGCTATCATTATTTGAACTATTATTTTGCCAACGACTTGACACAAAATCTGCCTCAGCTCTGCTTTATCTGTTACTGGAGACACCCTTGACAGCCTTTGACCTCAGCCGGCAGTTACGTTACGTTGAGGTGACATCAGTGGACACACCATGGTGCTGAACTACCAGGAGGATGAGCTTCTGGCAAATGTAGTCATAACATCCCTTTTGAGGCCATGACACACTTTCTAATACCCTAATTGTTTGCTAGCATGCCCCGCTGTGAATATGTAGGGGTGTGACAGTGCCGTCCATGTGTAATTCATGTATGTAAAGCGACAACGAGCAGGGGTACACAACATTGTACATCATTCCTTTCATTCAATTTTTGAATTTTTAATGCTTGTGTGAACACAGGTGTTTTATCGCATCCTATGAATGTATGTAAATATGCAGGAGTGGACGTCGCTGCATCCAGGAAACACAGAGACTATTCTGATACCATATCTTAAAACAAATCAGTGCTTGTGACGATTTCTAGTGGAAACCCTAAATGTGTACATAACTTAACGTTTCAGTACATACAAATATATTATATATATTTTTTCTTTGTTCTATCTGAGATGCATTTACAAATAAAACTGAACAGAAACACACATGTCTGCGTTGTCTTTAGTAAGTTGTACAGCCTCTACGTGCTCCAGAGGAGAAAAAAAGGTATGCTTTTGTCCGTAGCCGTAGTCAGGATTTCCGAATTACTTTATAATGTACTGTATAAGTGCCTCCCCCTCACAGCAGCTATTTTGTTATGAAATAGTAGGGTAAACACAGGTGTTATCAATGATTCTAATTACGGTTTTGTTCCATTCAGGTCAAACTTAGTCAGGGTGCTGCTATTGTACAGATTGGGTCACTGGAAAGGCTCTGCCACACTCACCCCATTCACACACACATTCATACACTGATTGCAGTGGCTGCCATGCAAGGTGCCAACTGCTTACCAGAATGGAAACTAATCATTCACACACACTCAATTTGGGGTTCAGTATCTTGCTCAAGGACATTTCAACATGCAGCGAGAGGAGCCGGGGAACGAACTACCAACCTTCTGATTAGTGGACAACCTGCTCTACCTCTGAGCAACAGCCGCCCTGTATTATTATCATTACACACATTTCAACCTGTCGCCTGATACCCTGATACCCTACTTCTTGCTATATATTCTCACATGACCAGAACGTACACATGCCCACTAGTGTAAAATAAACTAACTAGGGATGGGAATTGAGAACCAGTTCCAAATTGTCCAATGCATTGGAATCTTATGCATCTGATTAATTTCTTTATCAGCAAAACAATGATGTCAAACTCATGTTTCTACAGTGTTGGAAACTTGCAACAAAAAGGAGTCACAGCAGAGGGGAAGAAACAAAAACGTGGCCTCATTTCATGAGCATGTTCACTACATTCAGAAGATAAATGCTGCTGCCCTACTGGAAGCTAACGGCTTACTTGAAATCGCCCATTATGGTTTTAGAGCCAATGGGAGGGTGGGTTGTAGGAGTGCTAAAGTGGTATGAATGGCCCAATTTAGAAAATGTTTCCCCCCTGTTAATGGCTGGCCAGCTCCTGAGTTTCACTAAATCGGGTTTTCACAGTGAGGCTGTGACATGGCTCACACAGGCAATTAAACTAGACCTCAAAACCCTTAGCATAGGTTCGCTGCAATTTGCGTCAGAGATCAGAGTAATAACTCAAATCTGAACACATGGAAAGGAGACATATTTTTACATTCAGTGTGACTTAAACTTTCAGAGAATATATCATTATCTCTGATGTCCAACGCAAATAAATCTGCTTAGAAATCATAGAAAAAGAACGCTTCAGAATTTTGTCAGACTTTGATGCTCTGCTCTAAATGTTGGTCTACTCTAAGAGCTGTATGGTCTACTTGAAATCGTTTAAATATTGTATTTATTATTTCATGTATTTCTTAATTTTTCTTTGTCTGAAAGTGGTCAAATTAAAGGGCACTTAAGTACAAAATGTATTTAATATAAATTATATCCACCTTTTAAAAAGCAAATATATGTTACCTTAAATAATATAAACATGAGTTATTCCGAGATAAAGATCCCAAGGATGTGACCTTTGTGTCCTCCCTGGGAGCTACAGACCTGCATGTCACACAGCAGTTTAACTTATGTAAAGGTATTTGCTTTGCTTGTTGACATTGTACGTAATGTACTTGTCTGTTTTTGTTCTGACAGTTTATTAAATGGGTCAGAGGCTCTGAATCTATGTAATGATCTGTAGCAGCAAAGAAAAAGTCCAGTTATGAAGCGATGTGAAATAACTTGCAAATAAGATAGCACATATCAACAAAAAATTTATAAAATCATCAATGAATCATTTCAGAGCATGGAATCAACATAAGAATATATTTTAATTTCGGTAAAAGGGAAAGCTGTGAATTAGTAGGAGTCTGCTCTTCGTCCGTTTGACACTTTTATCCAAAGACCAATCAGCAGAGAAATGTCATTCAAGCGACCTTTCCCATGTAGTTGACTGTGCATGTAGCTAAGCTTCCCCTAGGAAATGAATGTGACTGTGGTGTGATTTTGATCATGTTACTACAGAGGTTTTCAAAGTGGGATCACATAAAACAGCCTAAATGTGTGTGATTTGGTTAGAGATAGTTCAAAGATATTGTAGTTTTGGGGAATCTGACTGTATTTCCCACTTTCCCAAAGTCAGAAACTAATAAGACAGACTCAAGACAGACAGGCTCAATTGTTGAGTGTCAAATAACATATTAATGATCCCATAGGCATCCAGGAATTGAGCTAAACTAAGCAAGTAAACTCTGTACTTTCAAAACCCCTGACCTACAGTATAAATCCATGGTGGTTGTCTTTTATCTTCTGAATCTACATGTAGAAATTAAAGGGGTACCCTGAACTCATCCCAAAATCTCAAATTGAGACCTACAGGATGTGTCCTTTGACGATCACGGCGGGGCCTACACTGCCTTGACTCCACACATACTGTATAACCACAGCTGGTTTGTAACCAACAAGCCCCAGGTGAGCCACAATAATCACAGCTAGCAGAATAGCATCCCTTTAGATCCAGATCAGTGTGCGTGATCCAGCACTGTTTAATCCCTGCTGACACACACGGGAGGACCAGACTGTGTCACTGCATATAAAGTTGCAAATGCAAGAAGTTGATGACTCGCCTTCCATAAGAAGTCTGTTCAAGTGTTGCAACTGATGAAGGTGATGATGGGTTCAGAGATCTGGGCTGGAGATTTGATGTACAGTACGTCGGGGCAAGGATGTGTGTGTGCATGCATTACTTTGGGGTGGGAGGTTATTGGGAGCACAGAGAGCTGGGAGGTTGGGGGAGGCAATGGCTAATTCATCCCATATGATCCATCCCACTGTGGAAGCATTTACCTTGACTCACAGACATAAACATACTGTACAGGAGGCTGCACCTAATTGGCTCGTGAGCGACTTCACAAAACATGGGCACATAAGGAGTTGTTGTTAGCAACATCTTTCCACATATACACACAGGAGGCACTGTTATTGTTGAAGTTTATTTAACTAAGAAAGGTGGATTTAGTTAGCTGAACATGCTTGTTTGCTTTGATTTCATGTACAGAGGGAGATGCCACTATAGGCTTGCTGGCTGAGCAGCTACAAATGAGCAAATGCTACATGAAACAGGCCCAGTCAAGTATGTGATAAAAGGTGTCCCAATGTAAGATCTTATTTAATAAGCTAGTGGAGATACATTCACTGTCTATGATATACCTATGTTCATAAGAAACAAATACATGTAAAACACAGGTAATCCCCAAGTCTTCACAATGGTTCAGAAATACAGGATAAACCTCAGGGTGTTCTTTATTTATCATTGTCAACAAATCCTTGAAAAATATATATAAATGGCTCAAATTTATAGTCTAATTTAAGAGAAAAGGCTCAGTAATTTCCTGAAACAGTCACTGCAGTTTTTATGAACCATTACTCAAAAGGAGGAAATAGTGCATTTCTGGGGACTATTTTCAGTGGTGCATTAATCCACATTTGGTGCTCTAGTGAGTATTCATGGCTGCAGGACGGTGTTTAGGTGGATTGAGTCAAAATCAACTACATTATACCCCTTAATCAACCAAAGAGTTTTTTTCCTGCATCAGGATTTTACTTTAACTTCCCCAAGAGGTCTTTACCAAGCGGCAACCTCCATGGCTGGTCAATGAACTCAACATGAAAGTAACAAACACTGCAGTTTCTCAAACGGCCACTTGAGGCTGGCTCCAGCAGTGAGTTAATCTCCGCAAGGCCCCATATTAATTAACCAGGCTTCATTCAGCCCACCTCAGCTCCAAACACACTTCACCTTTTTGCCTATTGTGTGTGTTCAGGTTGCAACAGTGTGGCTCATTGATGTGTTTTTAACAACAAGAATGGAGCTCTATGGCACAGAGGAAGAGGATATAGCAGGATTTGGGTACACACACAATAGTGGATGGATTCATTGTTGGCTTGGGTCTTTTCATGAGATGTGTACTATTGTGAAGTACTATTACCAGCTTTGTGGAACATTATTTGTTTCTACAATTTCAAGTGATGCAGTAGCAGATAAATTGTGTGTTCCCTTATTAGTAACTAAATAGGCTAGAGTAAGTACCACATTGCGAAAAAAAAGAAAAATATCATTAATGCGTCAAATGTCTAGTGTGTAACATGTAGGAGAATCTATTGTCAGAAATAGAATATAATATTAATACGAATTTTTGTATCTTTGTTACCTTCCATTTTTATCTACAGAGGGAGCGGATCTTCTTCTACAGAGTACGCAATGTTGAACCACCATGTTTCTACAGTAGCCCAGAGAAACGAACACTGGGCAGTTTGCCTTTAACTTGGGTTTTGTGGCCGCCATAGTTTCTCCTACACTCTTCACAGTATATTTTCATTCCCAGATACAGACAGGAGCGGTGTTCAGTTAGTTGCAATCTGAAATAGATGCCACTAAATCCTACACACTGGTCCTTTAACATGAATAAATTGCGTAGCCTTTCATTGGTTGAATTTTTTGCACTCACAGACAAATGATGGTATCGCTAAAGAGGTTCTGGGCCAACTTAAGACAAGGAGGCTAAAAATATTAGACCCAATGCGTACAGTAATGATTATCGGAGGTGAGCTAACCATTATTTTCAGCTTCTTGTATGAAACAATGCCATTTCATGAAGATACAGACAGCTGAATTACAGCAAGTTGGCCAATGAATGATAGCATCTAGCATCATGCGCAAGCTCACATATTTTATACCTTGCCTAGAAACTTCAGCAAATATTTGTCAGAAGAATTTCAAAGAGACATAAATTGTAAAATCAAACATATGACAGTACATTGAAACACTACAATGGTGTTATCAAGTCACCAACACATCTGACATTACTGGGGATAGCTCAAAGCTAAGGCTAACAGCTAAAAACACTGAGTTACATGTGTTTTCAGGAGCACATAAAATTTGATTTTTTAGCTTCTCTTATATTCTGCACACTATAGTTCTTCTTCTGTTTAGCCCAAGGCTAATTTACAATCAATCATGCCATACACAGGAGACTGCATATTGTATGTACACATCTTCTTATCAGTATCTTAGTATCTTATCAGTGTTCCCGCTGGCTTTATAGTGTTCAGACAGACTCAAGGTTACGTGCTGATGGCTCGACAGGAGGTGCTTTATGTGCTGTGGCTCAGAGGCAGAGTGGGTCGTCCCCCAATCGGAAGGTTGTAGGTTCGATCCCCGGTCCTCCTGCCACGTGTCGAAGTAT